TGTCCGTCGAGGTGCCCAGAGAGCTGCAGAGACAGAGGAAGAAACCTGAGCCTCAACAACATCTGTATTTGTTGGTTCTTCTGGGGTGGACTTCGGTTGCTTCTCTTCAACAGCTCGCTGTGAGGGAGGTCTCCCCCGGATGGCCTGAGTGATGTCACCCACAGACTGAGAGCTGGAGCTGAGACGGGTTTTAAACCTCTTGACAAACCGTTACACCGCGCCCACCTGTCAAGCTGGTCAGCTACACGCCTTATTGTGAATAACTCTTATTCTTCATCAAATCAAAACTGATGAGTCATCAAAACATTCACCCCCTGTGTACAGTGTGTGTCCATCGAGACATGAGCTAATCAGATCTATTTGTTTGTTTTGTACCAAGCTGTAAACATGTTCATCTCTGCTATAAAAACAGACTTTTTTTAATGTTGTTTTTCAGATTAAATAAATATTTCTATATAAATGCACTCCTTTATGTCTACTTATGTGTATACATTTCAGATTTTAAAAGGACAAGACTAAAATGTGCATTAATGCTCAACTCAATAGCTTAGGGAAGGAAGTCTACTTTTACACAACTTTTTATTCTTTAGACATTTTTTTTTACCAAATACTAATGTAGTTCATTTCTGAAAGTGGGATGGAACAGAGTCAGAGGTTATCCGCATAGCTTGATGCGATCTGTTGTTAAATCTTTGGCTGGACAATTAAGCAAAATAAGAAGTTATAGCCTATCATAGACTGTAAATATTAAACCAGTCAAAATATCAAAAGGTGAGGTGACAGTCACCATAGCAGGCAGTCAGTGATACTGAAATAGCCTGCTTAAACATGGCCATACAAGGCTGTTGAACAGCACATGAACTCAGGAAAAAGTTAAGGAAATATTATTCAAAAACGTTTAAAAAGCTTGTAAAATTAAGATAAAACTCATAAAAACGTGTTTTGTAGTTATATTGTTATGACAGTGCGTTGCTTGTCACTGAAATTCCATTGAGATAATAATTTATTCATGTATAACTGTTAGAAAACAGTAATTATGTTATCTGTCTGTCTGACTTAATATTTGAAATATATTTATAAAAAATGCAATGTAGACTTAACTCTTCTGTCATAGAAAATAGGTCTGGACATGTGATCGTTGTTACTGTATTGTACCAACAGATGGCGCCATTTCTTCATAACAAAAACATGCACACTGGTGAGACTGCAGACCTTCTCAAAATGTAAAGTGTAACTGTGTGCATGACTAGTTGACAGATGACGTCACATGACGTGAATGAACATGAATTATTGAGCAAAACATGTCCATCTTTAAATGTCCTTAATTTCTTTATAGCCAATGTCATAGACTCACAATTATTGTTGGCATGCCTTGCCTTCAAGATTTCAAAGGTTAATAATCTATCTATCTATCAATTCAACTTTATTGTAACTGACAGATGACATACAGGTTCAAAGTGCTTCACAGATGAATGATTGTGTATTCCACAATGAGAGATGGAATCTGGAGAATTTTGTTTTAAATACACAGATATATATTTATATATATATATATATATATATATGTATATATATATATCCAAAGTATCTACTTTATGTAATTTCAGGAGGGTTTCAAAGCTGTAACATCTGCCAAACTGAATGAAAGACGCAAAGTGAGAAACAAACTTGGTAGCTGTGGTCCTACTGTCTGTGGCATCGTTTGCTCGCTATAGACAAAGTTGTCATTATTCTGGCCACTATAACAACAACCTAAACTGCTCTACTATGTTGTTTATTATGTTGTATAATCTCAGCTTGAGGGTATGCTGTCCTGTAGGTCTGTAGGAAAGACATAATTTTGTGGCAACTTTAAGACGGAGATGCATGCTCACAAAAACATCTGTTCTTTGTTATGCCATGCAAGAGAAAAATAGACTTTGAATCAGCTGACGGAACTGTCAACGTGAAGCGCAATTGACCAGAAAGTTTCAATATAACAGTCTCTTTAGAACTTCAGAGAGACGGACACAATGGTAGGGTTGCAGCACTTTAACCTCTTATTAACTTAAAAATGTCCTTTTTGCGACTGGAGCACATAAAGAACACATGAACTGTGGTCATAAAGTCAGATGACTCATCATTTGCCCTGTCTTTCGGCATGTGTTGTACACGTTTCCTTTAAAGTAAAGGGTTCTGGTGGCATCTTCTGCTGAGAGGTAGAATCCCGTAGATGAAACAGAAAAAACAGTCAACATGAAGCTACTTTTTAAGATTATGTTTTGAATACAATTTCTTTGTATGACAATAATCTAAAGGCTACACAAAATTTAAATGCAATCAGTGCAGTAGTTGTTTATTTGTGAAGGATTGGTGATGAACTGGTGATGTTCACCCACACTGCATTTATGAGCCAATGTGCTAAATGGCTCACTATCAAAATTATGGTCGAAGTTGTAGCAACAGAAACATCACCAAAAGTAAACTAATTGCTCATAAATACAGAAGATTATAGTATTTATGGTGATAGTAGATTTTAATTAATAGTAGAAGTACAATTTGTATAGTTTTTGTAATGTTTATAATGTAATTAGGCTAGTGTTTGCTTTGGCAGTGTCATCATCTCTGAATCAGGTAGTGCCCTTTTTTAAATAAAGAAAACCTCCTTTAATACAGTCGACTGTTTCTCATTTATTTGAATTCTGTTTGTATGTACACCTATCTGAAGTTGTCTTGCTGGTGTCCACGATCCCTTGTATCCATTGCATTAAGTAATTATTTATATTTGATCCCAAAAAGACAATCATTGTGAAAGCATTTTGTTAAAAGACTGGTCATTATAAATGTAGCCAAAGGTTCAAAGAAAGACCCTCTGTCCTGGTCTGGATCTTTTAGTGTTTGGCCTGAGGCATGTCCCGCAGGTTAATTGGATACTCGGATTGCAAACTGAACCCATCTCACACAAGTCATTATGTGCCAGCTAGGATTGATTATATCAGACAGGCTCCATATTGTCCTCATGTGTAACTGATACTAAAAAGAAGGCCAACATTGCTTTAAGAACCATTCCCATTCATAAAATATTCTAAAATGCAACAGGTGGATTGGGCAGAAAAAGAAATGATGCTTTTTGGCCTCTTGTGTTCCTGGAAAATCACAGCATAGATTGTGTTTCCCATCATACCATAGCTTTGTCCAACTGCTGAGTCAGCAAACACTGACATGGTTGATATACCATGTTACAGAAATGAGTTTTTGGGTTCACTAGAGTTCTTTTGTGTTCAGTTACATGAAGTGAACAGATTAACTTGTAGGCCTTGAAAGCCTGATATATATATATATAGCCAATTATGGAGGCTATGATGCATAAAGACGTGTTTCAATTGGATAATGAGTGGGTGGCTGAGAGGCAGCAAAAGGAGAAAAAGGCACTATAATTACGTAAGCATTTTCCCGCAGGCGACCCAAGATCATAGTGATCTGAGCTTCCCAATCTACCCAACCGCTTGTTAACCACTTTTAAACCGAGTTACATTTTAATTGTCCAACAGAGCTGAAGTCAAAAGTACTGTATGTCGTGATACTATGAGGTTTCCTCCCTACCTTTGACTGAGACATGTGAGTCTGTCACACAAAACCTCAAACATGGTTTGGTGCTGTTTTTGCCATGGAAACCTTCAGGTTTCTGGAATCCACATCTTCCACAACAACTATTGGGTGAACATTGATTCAATAATCAAAAAGGCCCAGCAGAGGATGTTCTTCAGCCAAGTTCTACACTGAAGTCATCTAGTACCAACTCACACACTAAAGAACAACTAGACTGTTGGGAAGTTTACAGGTGCCAGTTACTTACAACTTTAATACATATTTCTACATGTTCCGAGTTAAGAAACAAGCGTGAAAAACAACCTTTTCCGACTTGTACCATCTGGTACATGTTTGTCATTGTCATATAATCATATACATTTTCTTTTTTTTTTAAATAAAGCTTAATTTGATTTTGACTTTTTTTCTGCTTCAAAATCTCATAGAAGGAACCAATAGTCATCAAGATCATTGAAGACACTTTAAGGGCTGTAATAAAGGGCTCTGGAGACTTTAAATGGAGACATGTAAAAGGTCTTTGTTGAGCTCATAATGTGTATGACGCAAAAACAATGCCGGACAATATGACTATCTTGACCCTTGGCTCATGCAGTGTCTCAGCAGAATGACAATGACAGAGAGCCCTTTCCTACATACATTAGGCGTGGCCTTTCATTGCTGGACTACTGTGGCTTTACGCACTGTGTTTACAGGATTATATCAGCTTTATGCACGAGACAAGAGGTCATAAGCAAGAGGCAGGGAAACACGTGTGCACTTTAGAAGACATAATTGTCTTGAGGAGTTAAAAAAGCCGTCTGCTGATGAAAGTGGGGTGACCTTGTTTTGGATGATGCCGTAGAAAGACATTGCTGTTTTTTAAAGCAAAGACTTATCTATCTATTCCGCTCATTTTAAAAATGACTTTTATTGCGTGAAGTAAATACTGGTACTTAGATAAAACTACATCCATCCATTATATATACCATTTTTCCCGTTAGGTGTTTTGGGGGGCCGGAGCCGATCCCAGCTGTCATTGGGCGAGAGGCTGGGTACACCCCGGACTGTTTGACAGTCAATCACAGGGCTGTCATATACTGTAGAGATAGACAACCAGCCACACTCACATGCACATCTACGTGCAATGTAGAGTCAACAATTAACCTAACAATCATGTCTTTGGACTGTGGGAGGAAGCTGGAGTACTGTGAGAGAACCCACGCATGCACGGAGAGAGCATGCAAATTTCACACAGAGAGGCCCTGTCCGACGGGGATTCGAACCAGGAATATCCTTGCTGTGAGGCAACAGCGCTAACCACTGGATCACCATGCAGCCCCTTGTCTTCTTCTGCCCATTCAATTTTGTAACACAGGCAACAAAGACCTTATTTGTTATGTCTGGGGTACAGAAGTCTTTAAGAAAAGATGGGCTTGTGTTTCAGACAAGAAAACATTTATTGCAATTCAGACAGATATTATTGCAGTGAGTTATTTGGAAATGCAAGCACAAAATGTATTGATCCATAATATCACAAGTGTTTCTACAGTACAGTTTCTTTGTTTGTTCAAGGCACATATGTTTCGCGCTACGTACAGTAGTGAGGATACATTTCAAAGTTCAACTGATTCTGGAACTGTAACACATTACCATCAGCCCTGATGTGGCCCAAGGCAAGGTTGTCAGCTTTGATACAAAAGGGGCAAAAGTACAAGTGTACCCGCGTCCAGTTGCTTCTCAACAATACATTTTAGCCCATTATCTGTAAATATCAAAATGGAAAACTTAGCCAACAGCCTAAGTTAAGAAAAACCCCAGTGTATAAAAAAAAGTCAACAAAACTCTTGAAGTCAAGTGTTAAATTAAGTTAAAGTTGATTTTGACAAATACATTACCTATAAATAATAAAAATACTCATTGGGCATTACTTGTCAGTGTTGTACTAAATGTGATGTACTGGAAAGTCATTTTTAATGTATACATTTTAATTGTTATGATATTTCTTACTGATAAATACAGTACAGAAAAAAATACAGTATTATTCTATTAAATGTCCTTAAATAAAATGTAAAACTTAAGTAAAAAACATGAGAATTAAAAACGAAACAAAGTGCAGTTTTTGAGTAAATGTGCCGACTTAAGTCCTTAAATTATATCGTTTGCATGACTCATATATATTAAGCTGTAGCTACATATGACTATGTAAAACATTTCTAAAAACTCTGACCTTAAAAAGAAGCCATTCCTTTGATTTCCTCTGAACAGGAACTGAATGTTATTGCAAAGGTTGGCTTCTCATGAGGATTAAAAGTCTCCCCACTTAAGAATATAAATACAATTTAAATTTAAAAAAAAAAGTATTTCTTCAACTACTCTCCTTGCATCTTCAATAATATCACCACTTTCTTTGCCAAGCAACCCACAGGTGTTAATGAAAACAAGCATTGGGAAGCCTGTATTCGAGCAGCAATCAGGTGCATGCAGTCCACCGTGTGGTGTTGTCCCGTCGCTTTGACCAGAGGTCTTTGTGCGGCACATGTGGAGAGGGAGGGCAGGGTTTCTGTGGACCATCTCCTATGACAGACCAAGGCTCATAACCCAGTGACATTGGCCCAGGCGGGGAATGAGTCCAGCTCAAACATGGCCTTGCCCCAGGTGTTGATGGCCAGTGTGATACATATGATGCCAATGATGTTCATCACTATTCCTGTCCTGGCCTGAAAAGAACAGTTAGTTGTGATATTAAAGCACAGCCGGGCATTCCTTTTGAGACGTAGACAAATACAAATACACATACAGCTCTCAGGTCCTTCCACAGATTGAAGTGAATGCATTCATCTTGTTAGGGTAGCTTAGTTTGAGAAAACCTTGAAACAGCTACACTTGCTCTGCTAATTGGACAAGTTCCACTTACCAGCACATCTAAACCTCACTTTGTAACATGTCAAATCTTGTATTTTACTAAGAGGTTGAATAATAAGGTTCAGAGTTGCTGGTGGGCAGATTATTTTACCCTTTGACAAAGCCAGGCTAGCTCTATTCTTGTTTGCCAGTCTTCATGCTAAAAAAAAAGCTAACTGGGCACTGCCAGTAGTTTTACAAAAACCCTAAATATAAGGGTATGTTAAGATGAACCACAGGGAAAGATTTAAAGGTATTATAAAGGTGTCAGAAGAGGCAGTTACAACGTTAAGAGCATGAGCTGCCCAAAAATGTTACTTGGTACATATATATTTTTAAGTACCTTACAGCTAATGTTACAAGTAGCTAACATTGGTATGTTGGTATTTTGGATCACAGCTAACATTGGTATAGCCATTTGGTGCACAACAATGGACAAACAGCTAAATATTCCATTGGTGAATGACATGTATTAAAAATACTTTAATAGTATCGATCCTCTTAACAGAGTCTTATATGAGCCTGTTTCCAAAAAATCCATTTATTCTTTGGAAAGGCAGGTTATTCTGAGGTTGGCAAGGACAGGGTTAAATGCTAACATTAGCTGTTAGAGCTGTTAAAGCTGACCAGAGTTATCCAACATGTTTTTTCACTTGAAGCTTACGGTTACATTAGCAAGAAAGTGTCTGAATGTTTATGTTAGTTGCTGTTTCATGGTAGCTAATGCTGAGTTGTCTTTTTAGTTGTTCATCAAAGACACACAGCTAAATAAAAAAATGTCTGATAGTAAAACGGCCAGTATGTGAATATAGTCAATGAACATGTAGTTCAGATATCCTTGCAGTGTACCAGTGACCCTAAACCGACCACTTTGTATGCTCAACATACAGTATAATTTACTGACCCATCACAACAAACTACTGCCAAACTCACCATGTCAGCAACCTTGAGGTATCCATAGGAGAAAACGATGGCGTTTGGAGGCGTTGCAACAGGCAACATGAAGGCAAACGAGGCGCTTAGAGTACAAGGCACCATGACGTAGAGTGGATTCATTCCAATAGACTGAGCCTGCAATAATCACACAGAAAGATTCAACAGTCTGAGACAGGGATGAACATAGCCTTGATAACAAATCCTCCACTCCTACTATCTGGCTAGTTTCTGCGACAGTAATCACTGACTCATAAGTCAGAGTGAAATGTGTGCAATTCTGTGAGGAGTGAAAACTCTCATTAGGTGGGTGTAATTAAGATGTAATTCCTGCAAGCTTTGGGCTGAGTCATGGTATCTGACATAGAAAAGGACTACATGTAGCGATAATAGCAGACTACTTGGATGAAAAAAAAATACATTACTCTGGAATTTGCTTCTGAATTACATATCCAACTTCACAGTATGTTACAAATGAACAGTAATTTCTACTTCTCAAAATAAACAATGTGTGAAGATTTAAACTTCACAGTAGCCTGTTCAAAGTTCAAATGTAGGCTGTATATCAGCTTACGACAATGACAGTGACACAACAATGACAGTGTCTCATGGTTTTAGTTGGATAAAATGCGAAAGATTCACTTGAGGGTTTGACACATAAAGTGACATACCGCAAGCCATGACTACCACTAAGTGTCATCCCTCTTCTTTGTGCTTCGTGTAACAAATCAGATGTTCTTTTCTTTCTCTCTTTTCTTTTCAACTCTATGTTCACACAAGGGTTGGACACCCTTGGGCACCCACTTGGCTATGTCCCCTATAAATATCTCTCTGAATCCCCCTGCTTGGCACAGTCTTTCACAACCAAGCTTTGGCGTTCATTCGAGTGCTAGACTAGCGGGCACAGTAATGCCATTCTTCAGCAGCAGTGGGGTGGGCAGCATTACGAGGCACTGGGCTGAATTGGTGTGTTTGGCAGGTTATTAATGAGAGGAGGGGCCCGAGAAAGGGGACCAAACATATTCAGTCTGAATGACCAACTAGATGGGAGACCAAACATGGGACAATAGGCTGGCTCCCACCGGAAGTAGTTTCATTGCTAGACTCCAATTGAGGACATCAGTTCAAAAGAAGTCACACTATGTAGCACTTCACCTCACTGAACCACTGCTACTGAACATAATTGTTGGTCTCCTGCAGTCTGAGATCCTGCACGCATTCTACTTTCTCCCTGAGAACTTACCATTGAGGCTAAGACAGGTAGGAAGAGCGTCGCTGTTGCCACATTACTGGTGCACTCTGTAAAGGTAGCAATCAGCAGGCACAAGATGATAGCTATTGCCCAGGGAGGGATGCTTTGGAGGGGGGTCATTTGATCTCCCATCCACTTTGAGAGCCCTGATATCTACAAAGAAGGTAAACATACACAGGGTTAAAGTCTCCTCTAGATATGTACAAACTATTCAACCTAGCTCATCATTACTATCAGCCGAGTTAACGGCTCATTTACTTTGAGCAAAGTCTAATTCAGGTTTGTGCATCATAGACATTATTATATCCAATTTAACTCATTTTAGGGGACATTTAAGCTTAATGGAAGAGGAAATGTTTAGTTTGCATGGCAGTAACAAAAAAATAGAAAAATAATGAACTTCTTGTTTATAGTTAGTACCTTTGAATCAAGTTTGGATATGACTAAATCTGCCCCTCATAATTAAAATCCACCCTAAAGAAAGATAATTGCAGAATGTAAATCCATGGAATGGCAATTGCTTAAAAAGACAATAAATAGTATAAAACAGTTTGATCTCATTAATTTGTGTGGACAAAGACAACAAGTAGGCCACCACCATCAAGAGACATTATAATTGTATGATTTATGTATTTTTTGATGATTGTTACCATAGTAGTTCTTAGCTACTTGGCTATTTTCCCTATAATATTGTGACTGTCAATTCCACTTACCTCACTGCCCTTCGCCAGAGCAAAACCTCCTCCGAGAAGAAGCACAATGCCCCAAGGTAACTTCTTTTGGACAACTTTCCAGGTGAGCAGACGCGGAGTTGAGCCAGAAGTTTGACGGGATACTACAGATCCAACAAAATCCAATGACATTATTGAATGATTGCATAATCTCCACCTTGGTTACAACTGTCTGACATGAGTTTGTTTTCTCGTAGAATGACTCACCCGTGTCAAAACTATGAGACCTCCGAGAACAGAAGCGTGGAGGTTTTGAGGGCAGAACAAACAGAAGAATGGCGATGAAGATTGCCACTGTGGCATCTGTCACATACCTGAGAAGTCGAGTGATAAAGGAAATGAAAGAACAATGTAAATTTGGAAAAAATGTTGGTAAAGTAATGTGTAAAAATATTAGGTTTTACATACTCTGCTTTGGAGTTGAAGATGTTTGTAGCCCAGCCGTGAACAAACCCTGGTTCCCTTGTGAACCACAACACTACCAGCAGGCAGAAGAGGCCAAGGACACTGATCTCCCCAAACGACATCGGCCCCAGAAGACGATGCTGCTCTCTGATCACATTAAAGGCAGCAATATCCTTATCTGTCTTCACAGCCCCACAGCCCCATGTCTTCTTAATGCTAAAGGGATCACATGAGGAAAAATCTTTGTGTCACCTCTCCACTCAGTCATGGTCATGATGCGGTAAAAGCTTCTTGATGCAGTTTCAAGTCTGTCACTATAATTAGGCTTTAACCATCACCAAACTCACTTGAATCCCATGAAGACAAACTGCAGCCAAAGCCAGGCCAACGTGAGCATGAGGATCATGTTTGGGAACGCAAAGCCGAACCAGGAGGCAAAGTTAATCACATCTCCATTTTCGGGAAAGAGTCTAAGGTAAACAACAAAGAGCAATTTTATAGGACAAATTTCACAGCAATAGTACATGACAGAACAATGCATGAGGAAATTCTCACTGGTTCATCTGGCCTTTGAGCACAAGATTAGGGCCTGTTCCTGTCAGTGTAGCGGTGCCTCCGATGCTGGCAGCGTAACAAATGCACAGGGTCATCCCTTTACACATTTTCCGCCTTTCTGCTGCCTCCATCTGCCTGGCAGCCTCCACCGTGGCATCCAAGAAAGTCACAACCAATGAACCTTCGAACATAGAGCAATAAATACTGTTACACCGTTTTGTTGGTAGAAATAAAAGTTGTTTAGACTGTACATTTTCTTGGCAAAACAGGGAGAGAATTGTACTTTAAGAGGGCCATGGATCACCTTGTCCATCATTCTGTTTCTCTGTCTGGGGAGGCTGTTTAGTATCAGGCTCTGACGTATGGAGCTGCTCCTCCTGGCTGAGAATCTGAGGTATCTCTGCATCACTGTTGTTGAGCTGCTCCAGCACTGCTTGGACAATAGGCACCATCATGGCTGTGGTAGCAGTGTTACTTATCCACATGGACAAGAAGGCAGTGACACCCATGAAACCCAACATCAAGCTGGAAGGAAGATTGAAAAAAGTGTGAGTGGACATAGTAAGGAAGAGGTGACCACAATTGTTTTACAACAAACTATAAAAAGAAAAAAGGAAAGACTTTCTGACAGCAGTAAAAAACCTAGGATGTAGTTTCCTTATCTAGCTGATGCCTTTAATGACATGGTTGATTAGATAAGCTTCGGAAATGTAACTAAACAATGACAGACCTAGCTGATAATCTACAGTGGAAGTGTGGATTTTTAGCACTCACAGTGCTGGACGCACACCAACGAGGAGCAGCACCCTTAAGGCAATGCGCTTGTGCAGATTCCAGTGCTCCACGGCTACTGCAACCATAAGCCCCCCCACAAACAGCAAGTTTGTGTCTTTCAGGTACTGCATACACACCTGAGAGCACAGGGAGATATGTTGTTTGAAGAAGTACTTGCTTAGCAAATCCAACACCCTGCTGCAGTTATTATACTTACATCTTTGGATTGCATGATGCCAAACAGGGGGAACAAGAGGGCTGGAAGCAGAGCCGTTACAGCCAGAGGAAGGACCTCAGTGCACCAATAAACTGCCATCAGGATGATCACATAGGCACATTCTGCCTCCTGCGCGACAAACACACAGGAACACCTTGCATTAGGGGTCAGGATCAAACTTGGAAAGATGCCATGCAAGGTCTGAAAACATCTTCTCTGGTCACAACATATTGCATAATCTTTAATGGGATGGTTCAAAGGGTAAAGATAACAGCGCTTATTGTTCTAATGTCTTGTCAGTCACCTGTTTGAACATTTTGCTTAGATCATCACGCTTAGCTCTTTAAACACCAATAAACATTATCATTTTATCACGTTTCTATTTGTTGGTGTTTTGTTTGCCAACACATTTTGTTTTAAATCACATATTTTTAAACACAATTCTTCACTTGATATGACGTGCCTTACTTTTTGGCTTAAAGAAAAAGTCATTTGTCTTTATATTTTGTTGGCAATAAATGGAATCTAAGTTTGAGACGTCATAGGCTACTCAATCATCCCCCTCTTTCCCGTGTTCACCCCTGTTCGTGGCTGCTTTGCATTGAAGTCTGTGACTATGATAACATGCTGACAGCCTGCGTGCACATCTCTGAGTCACATGTAGCGGTAGATACGCGGACGAACCCCACTTCACTCGGTGTTCCCACGCTGGACATGACCCTTCATGTTAACAACAAGAAGTTAAAATAACAAGACCTTAGAGGGGTCATGCCTGGGGCAACACCGGGACAGCTCTCGTGCTTTTACTGCAAAAGTGCGTCGCGCGCGCTTCTGAGCAACAGGTGCACGAGAGAAACAGTCCAAATCTGACTCGTTTGGGGCTCTGGCTTTTTGTTAGGCGAAAAAAAAAGACCGACTGCGACGAATTCCCGAATGAATTGATTTAATTATTTTATTAAACAAAATAGAAACATGCAGCTAAATGTAACCTCTGACTGAACTTAAAAAAATATATATGTTGCTGTTTATATTTTGACAATTAGCTTAGGCCTAGGCCTATCAATAATAGCATAGTTTCATCTCTTAAATTATGCCGTGCGTTATAGGATACCAAAAGATGCCAGATTTCTCCAATTTAATCCAACAGTGCGAAAACTACGTTCAATTAATTTAACTATTGTTTTATCCAATTAAGTTAGGTTACATACCGATGTCCCGATCACTAAAGGCAGAGGAAGAAGAATAAATGGAGTCGAAAAAAGGATCAGCTCATTCTTAACAGAGCGAAGATATTTGAGGAATGCCATCCTGAAGGAAAACCGAGAAAAGAAGGCTTTCGCACCATGGACCGCGCTTTTGAGGCGCAGAGGAGAGGAGGAGGGGGGAGTCCCACAGCAAATAAAAGAGAAAGAGAGAGAGAGAGGGAGGGAGAGCGAGGGAGCGAGATATGTGCAGGGTGCTCGCACCAAAACAAAAGGACTGACTGGTTGATTATCTTTGAAGCCACAAGAAAAAAATGTCTTCCCTAAACGAACCAAAGCAATGAAATACAAATAGGCCTACCCCCCACCCCAAAACTGGCTGAATTGCTGCACTGGGAAAACTTGTTCCTTCAGCTTTTGAAACATTGTGACAATGGGTTAATTCCTTGCATAAATTCCTCATCTGAATGCCGATTACACCCCTGACACTATCAGACTACGACACAGATTGGTCTGTAAAGCTCATAATCTGAAGTAGCATAACATCAAAATGAGGATACCCTGGTCCGAAAAATGCCAGGATTAGTTTCCACACCTGTTTTCTCGAGGCTCAGCAATGCAATACAATTGCAGCGAGTGTTTACACATGAGGATTGTGATTTGAGTCATTGCTGCTCCACCTCAGTATTTCGGTAAACCAGAAATGGGTCACTGTTTTTATTTGTATCGCAAAATGATAAATAATTGGCATTGCAGTAGATTGCTTGTGCAAGTTTTTTTTTACTATCTACATGCTTATGAACTTTACTGATTCAACTTTTCTGGAAAAACAGCTTCCATTTAATTTCAAATACATCTGTCCAAAATACACTGGTTGATATTTAGAATAACTCTCCTTTACCTTAGATGTTGACTTTTAGAGACTTGTGTAACTTTCAGCATCTGTCCTGTGTGAAATTATAAACTAGAAATGATTAACAACAACTTCAACGAAACAACCATAAAAAGGCATGACCTTCATCATCCCATTTTCCCTGACAAGATAAATTGACTGAATTTGTGTCTGCATGTTATGATAGACACAAATTCAATGCAATGCAGTAACACATGAGTATGGCATGAGGGGTAGGTATAAGAGGAGGGTCATATGACCTCTCAAAGTTAATTATTATTTTGCACACCAATTTTAAAGGCAAAAGTGCCCAGCATAATGACATGAACTGGTTTTTGTATGTTTTCTTTAAATGTAGGTCAATAGATTCTCTATAAATACATTTCTCCATACACTGTGTTATTGTTTTGACTGTAATTCAGATTTTCCTTTATTGTGTAAGTCATACAATTACCTTGGCTTTAAATGTAACCCTGCTGTGTCAGTGTTGTTTGGTTATGTGGTGCTTAGTGTTCTTAATTCAACCTCTTATTTCATGGCACACCTTACATTTTGGTTCAAATGACTATTTACCAGTCAGTGGACAAAGGGATTTTTGGTAAACAACTAAAAAAAGGATAGAGAAGATTCAACAGATTTAAAAAAGTCTTTTAGTTTTTATGTCAGTGCAGTGGAAATGATGGCTTGGATTCTTTTAATTATATTTATTTATTTTCGAAAATGTAAATAACAAAAAATACACAAAAAAAAGTTGTAATTAAAAATACTGTATGTAGAAAACAAAGTAAATACCCAACATAGGAAAGACAAGTCAATGTCCTTCATTCGTTCTTACATGCCTGAAAAGAAGTAGGAAGAAGTTAAAACTTTAAAAATCATATTGGTAATAGTTTATTTGGATGTAACGTTCACATTGTATTTCGGAACACCTAAAATATGGAAATGTCAAGATTTTCAACCACTGATTTCCCCATAATGATGTTGCTGTATTATGTCACTTTGGACGCGCCTGCATGAGTTTGGCAGTATGCTGACGGAGACATTATTTCAAGTCATGTTACAAAATACAACATTGCAAAAACTCCTTAATTTGGTCCAACCGCTTTGGAAGTATCGTGCATTCTGGCCTTTTGCAGGAATGCTTTTAACCCAAACCAACACTGTGCTTTTGGACATGAAACATATTCTGCCTGGCAGTGCTTTAAAACGACTGCCAGCAGAGCCCAAGACATAATGAGACCTACTGAGCAAAGAATGTCATGTTCTTTGGCTGTATACTTTCTTTAAAAGTGCTGATGCCAATTATGCTGCATTGGTGGAGCAGAATGAGGAAAGCTTTTAATTTGTGCCCCTGTAATTGAGAATCTACCCAATGTGGGATTTTGACATGCATCACTGAAGACTAATTTTTACCAATAGGCTTCTAAAGACATGCAAAACATGTCATAATCAGAACAGGCCATTTGATGAGTTTTGACAATAACTGTATTCTCCTTTATTTTATCAATGTTGTATTTTTTTCATCTATTGCCGGCTATTTTGACTTTCATGATTGTTTTTGTTGTATGAAAATTGCCCAGCAGAAATTCTTGCAGAACATCCAAATATTCATCTATTTAATATGCCAATAATAAGTTAGGTTAGCTTTGTACACATCATTCAGTAGACAGCCTTCCCAAGTGCTGAACAAGAACAAAAATATTTTTGCAAACTGAAAGGCAAGTTCACGTTCAACCTCAAAATACTGAAATTACAAGGTTTAATAGGAAATAGTTTGACATAATAAACAAATACATAAATAAATATGTAAAACACTCAGTATAATTTTAGAGATAGAACAATGACATTAGCTATGATGTGGAAGATGTCCTGATTCAAACGTTCCAGACAGTCTCGTTTAGCTTGTAGCCATCATATGACATCACCACATTCATTGTATAAAAAAAACAGAACCGGGACACAAAGTCTTCCCTCAGTTTGTTTTAATGGATATCTTTAACGTCTGAGACGTTACACAGATTTTCTGCACGACACTGCTGACAGATTTGTCTGGTGAAATCACAGACATGATGCCACCTTGTGGAGATGACTCAGACTACATCAAATCTAACAGGCCAGGCCTACAGTGGCTGGGAAGGGCAAAGCAAAATTACAAAGTGTTAAACACTTTTACAAAATGTGAGACAAATTTACGTTTAGATATTTTTTTTTTTTTTTTTTACATTTTATGAAACAAAATTACAAAACCAAAAACACTTACCAAGGACAAAACAAATTTACAAGATGTGAAACACTTTTACAATCGCTGAGACAAATTTACAAGAGGCAGAACACTTTTACCAGTCCCCAAACAAATTTACAAACCTTGACGGAGAGGGAATGTACCGCGACAAAACAAAACACACAAAATGACCCCTCACTCGATCGCTTGGGTCACTTACGACATTTGGTACGTTCCCATTTTGTCAAGATTCTGTCGTTTGTAAATTTGTCTCATCGACTGTAAAAGTGTTTCACATCTTGTAAATTTGTTTTATAAAATGTAAGTGTGTTTTTCAAAATGTAAATTTGTCTCACATTTGTAATTTTGCTTTGCACTTCCCAGCCACCGTACCCAGGCCGATAAAAAGGCTCTGCCAACTGTAAGACTGTTTGTTTGGAAAGTAGGCTGTGCAATAATATGACCAGTAGATAAAGGTGGTTTCCCCATATAAAGAAAAGCGCATGAAAAGTAGCCTACAGAACAATCTACCTTGTGGTTATAATACTTCTCTTTTCTTTATAAACTACGCCAAGTTTCATTTAGCCATCTTTAAAATGACATAAAATATTATAATGATAAAAATAATAATAATAACTTTATTTATATAGCACCTTTTAAAAACACAGGTTTACAAAGTGCTTTGACAAACAGCAAAAACAAGAACAAAGCAAACTAAACTAAACACAGAAGAACATTAACAACAGTAAGAATATAACAGATGCAAAATACTAAAAATAATTAAATACAATTCAACAGAAAAGAACCCAAAGTGCACGATACCCAACAGACATATATAACCCGACCATCACAAGAACCATGATAAGAACCCAGGAAACACAAGAACCCAACAGCAAGAGCTGAGACCAAGAGGAACCAAAGATTTAAGAAGATGTAAGAAACTAAAAGATAAAAGCAAATAAAAAGATAACAGCAATAAGAAGGTAAGAGCAGTAAAAGAAATAGAAACAAGTGGTTAAAGGATCAAAAAACCCAAAACTATAATATTAATAAAAATAAAAAGTAAATATAAATATGAAACATAAATAGACAAAGTAAGTAAGATAAAAAATTACCAAGTTAAAACACAAGAGATTAAGATATGAGCATAAATACAAGATAAGAGCATAAATAAAAGAACAGTAAGAAGTAAAAGAAGTAAAACCAGTAAGAAAAGACATTAAGAAGACGACATCACATAAAAGCAAGTCTGTAAAAGTATGTTTTAAGAAGGGATTTAAAAGAATTGAGGGAATAAATGATAATAAAATAAACATGTTCCCGTTGTTTTACAGCACTTGGTTGTCACTTCTCCTAAAGTGCAGTTAACTGTCCACTTCTGCTTTGTCATTTCACCATTAACTGTGAAGTGTTGTTTGTGGGTCATTGAGGAAGTGGTCCTGTCTCTCTGTTAAGTGTTGTTTGTGGGTCATTGAGGAAGTGGTCCTGTCTCTCTCCGGTCAGCAGAGATCACATGAGACGGGGCTGGTGTTGTGTCACGTGTGGTGTCCCTTCTAAAACATGGCTCCAAGTGGCACAGAACGAAACAGCGTCCGATGACTGAACGTCTTCTATCTTGCCGACAAGCTCAAGCGAACACCAGAAATGGAGCTCGTAGTTAAATGTGGAAGTAACCCGCAGGATGTCATCGTTGAATAAAACAAAACGAGTCAACAGAATAGTCATGCGTGAAGCGGAGCCGCGTTAGCTTTAATGCTAGCCTAGCTGTCAACTGCTACAAGTGTTGAAAGGGTGAGTTTAACAATAAATAATAAGTTTTCACCGGTTGTTGATTTCATGTACCCGCAGCTGGTGGCGTTCAACCAGTGTGGCCGCTCTTGTATAATCTTGGGGGGTTTAGGATATTAGTCCAAACACGGAAGCTTTGTGCTTGCTTGCGTCGGGTATCGTAACGTTAGCCACTTCGTTAAGCTAACTGTTAGCATTAAGTTGAAGCTAGTTAAACAAAATGTCTTGAGACTCTTCAAATCACTGACAACGTTTCGATATTCAAAACCGCGACATAATCTGTCTTTGGTTGAATAACACTTGCATGCTTTGTTTCAAGTTGTCCATATTGTTTGACTGTTATCTCTATTGCTGTTTCTTGGATGTTATTTCTGCTGAACAGTTTAGACAACTACAACTATCCGATCTTTACTTCCCTCCTCACTGTGATTAACAGATTTGATTAGACACAGTGACTGAATGTATTTGTTAAAGATACCAAGGTATAATCTAAATTTAAAACTGGAGGCATTTAACTAACTTTCCAGCAGGGGGCAGAGTAACTGTGCTGATGGGGCAGAGGTAGTTCAGTCATGTGAGCTGAGCTCAAACTCAGGGATTTAAAGAAGGACAATGAGTCATGTGCATTCAAAAACATTACATTCTGATTGCATCTGTTGCTGATCTAATTGTCCATTTATGCTTTTCAGTTTTCTCAGAGGGACAGGTGGAAGAGGTGATTAAGCCCTGTTTTGATGGGGTGGATTTATTTCTACATGCATGTCTGAAAGGCCACCCAGTGGAAGACAGTGAGCTGCACTCAGCAGGACGTTGCGGGACTCAAGCAGACATTCAAGACTCACCATGGATTGGCTGATGCTGGCAGTTGAGAAAGACTTGGGGATTGACCGAAGGCAGCAAGGCCCAGGTCCCCGTCCCAGGGAGCTCATAGCCATTGTTCCTTCACGCTGGGCTACGGGCCTGAGGGAGAAGAAGGTCATGCGCTGTGCCCGCTTTGACAGCATCAGTGAGACTGAAATTAACACTTACCTTCAGTGCTCCCAGGCAAAGTTGCCTCCTGGATGGACGCGAGTGTGCATTCAGGGCCTGAGGAAAAGCAAGCTGACGTACAGATTGGCCAGAGACCCTTGCCATCAACTAATAGAATTTATGCCACAGGATTCTTATGTCAAAACCATGCAGTGTGTGTCGCATCACAATGTCAGGTAAAACAGTTATATTGTGATACTCTTAAATGTGTCTGTGATTGAAAAATGAAAGTAAAACTCATGTCTTAACAATGATCCTTTGAATTAATCAGAACCACTGTAAGGGAAATCATATGGTTTTAGAATCAATTGTTTTTTCATAATTACGCTATATCACTTTATCTGCTATGGGTAGGGCAACTTTTCACTTTCCCTGTTATTGGTGTTAATTTATACTATTTATAAAACATACTTTAACCTCCTTGTAAAATGTTGGGATATTTCGGCTTTAACACCTAGGTGTTTGCTTCATTAGATAATATTATTGATAAATTAGTTGTCACTATAGGTTCCCGTTTGCTAATTTGATTGTCCTTTTTCATCCTCTTTCAGGAATCTGTGGCGGGAAGCTCATTTGAAACGTGTGCAGACATATGCAGGACCCAATGAGCAGATGCATGCTGCAGCTGTAGATGCAGTCCGTCATGCTTTACAGAAGCTTTTCAATTCCACATTCATCTCCCCTGAAAAAGTTTCACCCTCCCTCTCTCCGGCAAGAGAGAAGGAGAAGGAAAGCTGCTTGCCATCTAGTTCATCTTGCTTTTCCAAGTCCCAGTCGAACCATTTGTGTCCTAATGTTCTGCCTGCTGAGTGTCTGCTGGAGACGGCAGAGATGCTCTATGTGATTTTACCTTACACTCAGTATTCTCTCCATGACATTGTCTCGTTCAGCCCAGCCAAGCTCGCCAACAGCCATGCCAAAGTTTTGTTCATTCTCTACCAGTTACTAATAGCTCTGCAGGCATGTCATGCAGCTGGTCTGTCTTGTGGAGAGCTCTCCCTGCAGGACATAGCAGTGGATGAGCAGCTCTGCAGCCGACTGAAGCTCAACCTAGCCCATTACGAGGATCTGGGGACAGAAGGGGATGCAAACAGTGATGTTACTGGCAGACGAGTGCCAAAAAGTGTCATGCCAAGTGACAGTTCATGTATGAGCCAAGAGACCAAGATACTTTGCAAAGATTGCTTCGGGGAGCTCAAGACGTTGGTTCTGGACTGGGTCCATGGGCGAGTCAGTAACTTCCGCTACTTGATGGAGCTGAACAGGTTAGCAGGACGACGAGAAGGAGACCCAAATTACCATCCAGTGCTTCCTTGGGTGGTGGACTTCACTGTGCCATTTGGTAAATTCCGGGACCTCCGGAGGTCAAAGTTCAGGCTCACAAAGGGAGATAAGCAGCTGGACTTCACATATGAGATGACCAAAGAGGCTTTGGCTGCTGCAGTAGGCAATGGGGTCGGTGGAGGTGGTATAGGCGCAGACCTCAGTGGTTCTGTTGGTGCTGGTGGTACTGGACAGCCAGAGCACCTCCATGTACCTCATCACATATCCGATGTGCTCTCAGACATCACCTACTATGTCTATAAAGCCCGGCAGACACCCAAGTCAGTGTTGTGCAGCCACGTCAGATCCCAGTGGGAGCCTAATGAATACCCGGCCAGTATGGAGCGCATGCAGAGCTGGAGCCCTGATGAGTGCATTCCAGAGTTCTACACAGATCCCTCTATTTTCCGCTCGATTCACTCCGACATGCCAGACCTGGACGTGCCTTCCTGGTGCAAGTCGTACGAGGAGTTTATAGAGGTCCACCGGCGCCTTCTTGAGAGCAGAGAAGTGTCCCAGTATTTGCATCACTGGATAGATCTCACATTTGGCTATAAGCTTTCTGGTAAAGAGGCTGTCAAGGCTAAAAATGTGTGCCTGCACCTTGTGGATAACCACACCAATCTTACTACCTATGGTGTAGTTCAGCTGTTTGACCAACCCCACCCGCCCCGCTTATCTTCTTCCCAGTATGCCCCAACAGAACCTCCTCTCCTTGGCCTTGCTGCTCTTAACGTGCCTTCTCTAAACTTCCCTCAAATCAACACTGCAGCGGACACCGTGGATGGTATGGTGCCCGAGTCCACAGGCTGTGAGTCCAGCAGCTGGACCGTGGTAGACAGAGAGGAAGAGCTGGAACAAGGAATGGAAGCCCTTGATTCACTCACATCCACTGCGTCCTGCGCTGTGCCACTGCCAGGCAACACTGCTGGGGTAATAACTGGAGGAGAACACACAGCACTTATTGTATCACAGTCCCCAAGTTCATTCCCTGGTGATTTAGCAAGCAGCTTAGGCCCGGGTTTTCGCAGTGCCATGTTACAAAGAGGCGGGCCTACCAACAAAAAACACGGAGAGGGTAGTGTGACTGCCACCAATGCAGATGAAATCAAAGTTAGCCTCCCTGAGGGATTCAACGCATTGCAGCCTTTGGAGGAGCTGGAGAAATTGAACAATTTCCTGGTGAAGAGTCTGCATGCGGAAGTATCAAGTGGCTGCACGAGAGACGATGTGATAATTGAGTCTTTGCCCTCTCTTACACAGCTCTACCAAAGGGACATGCAGGCCCTGGGTGTTCTCATCGCTGAGATATTCTATTCCTGCAAACTGCGGGGAGTGAAACCAGGAAACCCTCTTAGACAGCGTTTCCAAGCTGTTATGAAGCTCTGCTCTGCCAGCCTCCGTGATGTGCCACTGTGTTTGCATCATGCTCTGGAGACATTGATTCTAATAGAGAAGCACTCTGGAATTGCACATAGAGAAAAACCAGATTGCCCTCGTCCACTTCTTTTCAAATATGACCCAATCCGGGATGGTCTGCCTCCTCCAAACCCCTGTCAGCTATTAAACTCCATCATCACTCCCTTTCCTTTTCCTTCCTATTTTGCACCACTACATCACTTTATCTTTTCCTACCACACAAAGATGGAGACTACGTGTAGTCAACAAGGAAGAGATATCGTCTTTCACCTATGGCAGCAACTTGAGACGCTGTTGCGGGGTAACATCACAGCTGAGGGACTTGAGATTCTCTTGCCCTTCATTTTAGGCCTCATGCTTGAGGAGTGCACAGCTGTGTATGCTGCTTGGTACCTTTTTGAGCCAATCTCTAGGGTACTAGGTCCCAGAAATGCAAGCAAGTACTTGCTGAAGCCGCTGATCAATGTTTATGAAAACCCTCATTGCCTGCGAGGACGTTTCTATCTCTACACTGACTGCTTTATTCTGCAGCTCATTGTGCGACTTGGCCTGCAGGCCTTTCTTTCCAGCCTACTCCCCCATGTGCTTCAGGTCATCACTGGCTTTGAAAGCGGCAACTCCGACTCTGGCGGGGACGCTTGCAAAGGACTGAGGGGAGTCACGTGTAATCTAGGAGAGGAAGAGGAAGAGGACTTTCAGTGTGGCGAGCAGCGGTCATCGTCTGGTTCTGTCAGCGGCACTATGGGAGGCAGCAGCGGAGCCAGTGGAGGAGTTGGTGGGGTGGGAGACACGGGGCTGGTTGATTACTCCTCTGGCATCAGTCTCAATGACCAAGTGTTTCTCTCAGAGCCAGAAGACTTTCAAAATGGGTTCTATGTCAACAACGGAGCAGGGGTGGCTGCTGGGAAACAGCCGAGCCAGAACTCCGCAGCCAAGGAGCAAGATCAGGAGTCTCTAAGTGTGGGGAAACTTAGTGACAAAAGCAGCACAAGTGAGCTGTCACTGGGTGATGGAGACTCAATGAGGGATCGTGCCAGTCTCAAGTCGGCTGACAGCAGCCAGGACCTCAAACAGGCCAGTGAAGGAGAGGAGGGAGGAGAGCTGGAGGAAGAAGAGGTGACTGAAACTAATGTGGGTAAAGAAGAGACCGATGACCTCTCTGGTTACCAACTGGATCTCACACTCTCTGCTTGCACAATAGACACAGTTGCCACTCTGGAGGGCGAGTTTGTGAACGGAATGGCGCTGGATGAGAAAGATAAAGACACTGCTGGAGAGCAGGGGGAAGAGGACGATCATGGTCCTTCAGATGAGTCGGAGGAGAAAGAGCAAAAGATTCTTTTAGGTAAGTGACAGACTGAGGTTCTTGTGTATTAGTTATTTATTTGCTGATAGTGTCTAATGTCTTAAATCATGTCTCTACACAGATACAGTCTGCAAAACAGTGCGATGGCTGTCGGCCAAACTTGGACCAACTGTGACTTCTCGATATGTAGCCAGAAATTTGCTGCGATTGCTCACAAATTGTTACATTGGTAAGCACATTAATGTATTATTTATTCATACAGTAAACCATGCTCTAGAGTTTGTATCTATTTTTTTTTTTAATGGCATCAAGTGCTGCTCCTTGTGTTTGTATTTTTAAACCGTATTCTTGGCACGTTTTCTTCCTATAGGGCCTGAGAAGCACCAGTTTGTGGCCTCTTCAATTGAGGACAGCAGTCTGGAGAGTGTGGGATTGGGCAGTGTTTATGAGAAGAAACCTGTGGTTGGTGACCAGACGGCAGGACCTGTGTTGGAGTGTCTCATCTACATAGCTCAACTGTATGGAGAACCTGTGCTCACTTACCAGTACCTGCCTTATATCGGATATTTGGTAAGAAAGAAAAGCATCCTTTTTTTTGGTCAAAGGAAATTTGTACTAAAGATTTTTTTCTCTGTAAACTACAGTATAGTTAAAGATTGATTTCACAAATGTTTGCTCCAGGTTTCCCCCCCTTCTTCACAGCGGCTTAACACACGGAAGGAGGCAAGCCTGCTTGGAGCCGTTGCACTTACACAGAAGATCATTGTCTTCCTCTCTGATACCACCCTAATGGACATGTTGATGAAGATCAATCAGGATGTGCTCCTGCCTCTACTCGACCTGCTCACCACACCATGCATGGGGTAAATATACAAGCGACCGTTCGAATGATTGTTAAGGTGTATTACTTCTCATTTAACAGATAAATAAAGAGTACTAGTACATGAAATGTCATCAGAAAATCTGCTGCAACATTTCTCATTCACCCTCCGGATGGTTGTATCCGTCCTGCTGTATTCAGGTTCCCCAGCGGGGTGCAGACTCGCACTGCTGTCTGTCTCAAGACTCTGAGCCTGATGGCTCTCATCTGTCTGCGCATAGGGAGGGAAATGGTGCAACAGCATATGGCCGACACTCTGTGTCGATTCTTTGCGGTTTTCTCTCTTCTGCATTCTCTGCAGCCCCAGGTATGCACCCACAAACACAAAATACACAAATGGAAAAAGGATTGACATGCACGTTGTCAGGTTTATTTCCAGAATATGAGATCAGTCACAAAAAAAAAAAAAAAAAATTAACTGTAAAATAAAAGACAACAGCAGATTAGATAAGGATTAAGAAGACAGAGGACAGACACTTAAAGATAAACTCTCTGACAGTGTCAAATTACTTTATGGTGTGTTTGAAAATGCCTGCCCGAACTTGAAAAAGGCCTAGAAGGTGACAGAGGACGCTGAACAACTCGGATTTTGGTTCCATTGTATTTATTAATACAGTTCTCAAAACAATCCTTTACAATTAGAATGAGTCGGTTGTAAACCTTAAACAGTAGAGAGACATGTTAAATCAATAAGTCTTATGAACAAAAATACAGAGTTCATTTACTCAAGAGCTTAACTTTAACTCAATCTATAGCTCTTGATTAACAAATGTAAAACTTAATTCCTTTCATTTAAACAGAGTAAATAATAATCAGCATTCCAAATTTAATCTGCTTTCCAGAATTTCTAATTGTTTCAAACGAATAACTGAAGCATCAATCATTATTGAACGTCAAATTAACTCTTCCCACAAACAGGATATAAATGTAAATAACAAAAGAGCATGAACTATGCAAACAGCTCTTTAAACCACTGCATTTAACTATCATGCTGTTTTAGTTTATCTAACAAACAAATACAAAGCACGCTGCACAGTCAATTAAATCTTAAAATAAAGACTGTGCACCACTCAATGTGTAACTGTAGAGCATTTAACTTATTTTACCACATGTATCATCTAACCAAGGTTTATTATGCTCAAAAACTACAATGAAACATGAATCAATTCTTACCAATGGCATCTCTATAGTCTTCTCTACAATGACTTGAGCCTGTGAAGTTCTCCACTGAACACTCCACTGAACACCTCCACTGTTGCTCACACACACACACAGCCACGAGACGGCTTCTGCCTCCCTATTAAGTCACCTCAGCCTGCTTACACACCTGGCTTGTGTCAGCTAATTAGCCTCGCACTCCTTGCACAAAACTTCAGGTGCTGCCCTCTATTGAGCAAACTAAACACAATGAGGCTGACTGTGCAGAGAACACCTTTAAATACGAGTATAAGAGATTCATTTTTAAACACAAAATACCTATTTGATTTTGAACCAATAAAGTATCAAATTAATAAACATTTTCACATTATTTTTTTTATTCATTATTGCTTGTCCTTTAATTTTAACAAAACAGACAGTCAGTGAGAACAAAAGAGTGCATGACTTTGTTAGCGTGGCAGGATGTTGTTGTGTTTTTGTTGCATCTTCTTGTAACGACATGTGTGCTAATGTGTGGATTTTTACACTGTAGCTTGAAAGCGCCCCTCACAGGATGGTGGGAGAAGTCTCGGTTGTGGACGTGTGCACTGCTGAGGGGTTGAATGTGACATATGAGTTGGGGGTGTTGGAGGAGCTGCAGACTGTGTTTAACCCTGAGATGGCCCATGCCTCCTACATCCCCTTCTACTGCCTCATAGGTAGGGGGACACCTTCACGTTCTGTCCGTAACAAAATACCCTGTTTGGGAGGAAGAAGGCAATATACTCTGTGTGAAAATAGAATTTTACTCTTTAATGGTAAAAAAAAAAAAAAACAAGCTCTATTATGATTTCTTTAGGTGGCACAGCAATTCGAAAACTGGTCCCAAACCATGAGCTGGTGTGGCAGTTAGCCCAGTCTTACCACCAGAGTGTGAGTCAGGTGAGTCCAGGAACAAACCTGACGGCAACATCGAAAGTAGACCTACCTCCGTCCTCTGCGGGTCTCTCATCTGCCTTTGGTAGACGTGTTGGTGGAAGCCCGTTCCCTGCCCCCTCTACCAACTCTACCCAACTTGGTGAAGCCCTCCCTGAGTCAGGCACTTTTGGGAGCCACCTTGTAGGAAACCGTATCCAAGTGTCCCGGGACGCTGATTTTGATGGTAGTTCAACCTTGGGCTTGGCCAGCTCTTGGGGGCGCACCAGTCACATCACACCCATTATCACCACATCTTCCACCTTTACCACTTCATCTATGGGCACAGCGTCCTTGTCCTCCTCCTGGATGGCAGACCCCACCCCAGAGGACAGCGCCCTGAAGCAGGAGCTCCCTCGCAGTGGCCGCTCCCTGCAGGGGAACTGGCTGGCCTACTGGCAATATGAGATTGGCCTAAACCAGCAGGATCCACATTTCCACTTTCACCAGATCCGATTGCAGAGCTTTCTGGGTCACTCTGGCACCACGAAGTGTTTGGCTCCTCTGGCAGGGGAGGATTACTTCCTCTCTGGTAGTAAAGACAAAACTGTGAAGCTTTGGCCCCTCTATAACCACGGTGATGGAACACAGGAGGTAGAGCCCAGGCTGACGTATAATGACCATCGAAAGTCAATCTTCTATGTCGGACAGCTCGAAGCTTCACAGGAGGTAGTCAGCTGTGATGGCACAGTGCACCTCTGGGACCAGTATACTGGTAAGAGAAATCCCGCACATTGCATCCAAACTTTTGATTAGACCAGTGCATCTAAAGTATCATGTATTTAAAGAATATTAAACTCAAATTTATAAAACTCAACCTTCCTCTCTAACGTCTCTATCTGTTGTCTGCAGGCAAGCAGATCCGCTCATACGAAGCCGTGGACGGGAAGAATCCCATCACAGCTGTCACCACCATGCCAGCTCCACATTGCAGTGTTGTGTTTGGCAGCGCAGATTCTGTTCTCCGCTTCATTGATCCTCGCAAACCAGGATTGCAGGTTGTAATTTAATTTAGCAAGCTCATTCTGGCGAGACCCAATCCATAAAACATCTGCTAATTAACATCGATTACTGTGTTTTACAAAATAGAAGTGCTTTTTTTTTTAAATTTTACTTTCCCTCCACTATAGAGTTATTTCAGCTCTGACATTGACAAATCTTCCTTGTGTCCGCAGCATGAATTCCGCCTGGCATACAACAATGTGAGCGCTGGGCTCATCCGCTACCTGGCAGTGAGCCCCTCGGGGCGCACCGTGGCTGCAGGTTTCTCATCTGGCTTCATTGTTCTGCTCGACGCACGCACCGGACTCATTCTGAAGGGCTGGCCGGCTCATGAGGGAGATATCCTCCAAATGAAGGTATACTTTGAGAATGTGTGGGTTGTTACCTTTAATCTGTGTAACTCAATCAGGCTGCCTCTGGGTTATTTTAACAGCATTAATGGTTTGTCAAATAAATGAGATTTCAGAAGTCACTACGGGACTACTGGAATTTAATATTACAATTAGAGTCAAACTATTTCCAAGAAGCATTACAGTGAGGGCTTACAGATTGCCAGTTGAAGGCAGGATACAACCTTATGTCTGACGCATGGAGGCAGAAAAGTGGGGTGAAGTTGTTCCTCCCCTGATCTGCCACTAGAGGTAGTAACAGAGGGTAGATGTTACGGTGCTGTCGCAGGATGGTGATCTGTAAGCGGATTGCTTTACTTCAGCATACAACAAAGAAGTGACTTTTTATATTTTGTTGGCATCTTTTCAGATAGCTTATTATAAAAAGCAGACGGAAAAGGTGTGGCAGTAATGTATGTATTGCAAAATTAGGCCTTTGAGTTTAACTTTTTGCACCAGCTGCCGTCATGTGAGGACGCAGGTTTATTTTGGCGAGTGTTTCTGTTTTAAACAGCGCAGCTTTTCTTGCCTTAATGGTAGCAATTTCAGCATCCAGGAAGGTACTGGCATTTTCTGGCAGAACTTCACCAACTACCAAGTTGCATGAAGAGTGAAAGGCTTTGAAGAGGTCAAAAAGCTCCAGCAACATAACAAATTAGACCGACGCGTTTCGGCTTGTGGCCTTCATTAGGGTGACCCATCACATGTTACGCTACTCAGCCAATCTAATCTTTTACTCAGATCAGGCATTACGAGTGAACACTGTCGGTGTGATGATACAGAAACACCAAAGAAGTCAGCAGACAGCAAAGTTTTACAGAGACAGCTGGAGAAACTGAGTGAGTCAGGGAAAGGTAGACGTTCTAGAGATTAGAAAAGCATAGACTGTGTTAAAGAAATGATGGTGGCTTCTTGGTTTCTAAAAAGAAGCAAATGTGAAGCGTGAAACATGAGTCATTTTAAATGTCCAGCAGAGGTCGACTTGACTAGTTTTACAAAACAAAAAGTTTCATACTTTGAATGCAAACCGATCAGAAAATGCTCCTCCTTCATAGTTGATTCTTTGCTCAGATAATGAAATTACAATTGAGTAGTGTAATGTTTGAATTTTTATTAAAAGTCTTCTTCATCACAGCATGTTTTTTTCAAGTCCTAGTCATGCTTGATCATGAAGCAAGATGTACTTAAGGGTGTTGCAACCTGTGATTTTACAAGTCACAACCACAGAAACATGTCAACCAGGAGAGGGAGAGAGCGTTGTGTATGTCCCTGTTGATCTCTTTATTTCAACTTCAGTGTATTCATGTAAGAAAAAAACTCTTATGTGGGTAACTACGAATACTTCTTATTGGATTCATATGCCTATCCAGGAGTGTTTACAGAAACATCTGTGACTTCTAGCTGCATCAAGTATCCGTGTCCATACTGTGTTTCACAATAACTGGGCTGACATTCTCGGGGGACTTGTTAACGGTCAAGTGTTTACATGAGTCGTGGGCTGAACATGGGGTCACTCAGTGAGTCACAGAAATGGACAACTGCTCCAACTTTGTATTCTGCCTGATAGATTGCAGCCAAGAGGTGGGCAGTTAATCCCACATGAGTCCACTTACCTTTTCAGTTGTGAGTGCAGAAAATATCTTCTGCTTTTCAAGGAGTCAGAGGTGGAGAGTATTTACATTGTCATTCATTCCTTTAAGCAGCAGAATCTGGTGGACACTCAGGCTTCAGGGTCACCAGAGGAAATCTTTTTTTCATGTCCACATCGGGTGGAAATCACAAAGTTAACAGTGTACATGAATCACTTTTTCACTCTTTCTGTGCTGTATCTTCTCTAAACAACCAACATTATCTCCACCCTGTATGTCTGACCTACACTGGCTTGTCTTTGTCTACAGGGATCATTTGTTTATGTCTTTCTGATGGCGGATGAGAGCTGACGGCTATGACAAAAAAATAAAACCTTATTTTACAACATGTAGGTTTGCAGTTGTAAGGAAGGGGAATAATGTTTGGTGTAAATATACTGTACGTTGTTCTTTTAGTGATCATGAACTATAATTTAGATATCATCCTTGGCTTTTATGTGATATCATTACTTTAATAGATCATTTTAAGAGCAAGGTATTGTATTCTTAGTCGACATCCCGGAGTCAAGCCAGAAGGTGTGGCTGTACTTTCAGTAGTCGTGTGATAAATATTCAAAAAGACGATCGACCAGGTGGATGTATTTTGGCCCAAAGAATAGATGTGAATACGAAGCGGTGCAGAGATGGGGAAAGTTGTACCCAGCAAATCTGTTGTCAACAGAGCGCAAAGATTAGCAAACTTTATTTAACCCCAAATGAGGTCAAGGATTGTAGCTCTAGTTTTAAAGGCACAAGTTTAGGCAAATATGGACACAAGTTACTCATTAGATGGACTACAGTGGCTCTCATTGGCACATTCGTTTGACTTCAGACGTCCCCTCAGCTCTTTTGTGTATCAACGGGTGACTCTTTCATATTTAGCTGAGAAACTTCAAAAACAAATTAACTTCATGTTTAAAAAAAAAGAAAAAAAAGTTATCTTGTTTGGTGTTAGTTTTGTAGTAAATGACTTGTATACAATTACTCTCAACTCAAAGTCAGCGGGTACATGTGGTTGAGAAGTGCTTGAGAGTGAGTCAGTATATGTAAACAGTACGACTAAGGACAGGAAATTACACGTATAGATATATCTGTCTGAGTATTTTTGTACCATGTGATTCTACTTTCAAGTATTCTATGATAGACAAATGTTAATATCAATGAAATGTAGTGATTTTAAAAGTACTTTGAAAGTATTTCTTATTAGTTCACTTGTTCATATTTTTATCAATTTTGAGGTTTTAGAAGGACCATTGAATCACATCACAAGGCACTTGATAACCTGAGGCCATATTGGCTGGGATACTGCCGGTCCACACATTTTGTGACTTCCTTGTTTTATTACATTTCAGGCTGCAGAGGGAAACTTGGTCATCAGCTCCTCCACTGACTACACACTCAATGTCTGGAAAGACCTGGAAAACAAGCCTCTCCGCCAGTACAGGTCGCAGTCTGACCCCATCCACGCCTTTGACCTTTACGGCCCAGAGATTGTAACCGGAACGGTGGCTAACAAGATCGGGGTGTACTCCATGGTGGACATCTCCCATAGCCCTGTTAGCAGCACAAAGCTGAGCTCGGAGAACTTCCGCGGCACTCTGACCAGCCTGGCAGTCCTCCCCACCAAGAGGCTCTTACTGCTGGGCTCTGAGAACGGCGCCATCCGGTTGTTAGCTTAGGACAAACCAACGGCACCCAGATCCACGAAAACAGACTTACCACTGACCTCCAAAGTGTCTTATTGGTGAACACAGGCAGGTGTCTGAGCTCTATGTCCCGTCCACTGAGCTCGAGGTCAATTGAACGAGAAGGCAGTTTTTCAGCTCCTCTAAATTGCTTTTTCAATGAAGCAGCACAAGCAAAGGCATTGTATAAGCTACACGTGTCTGAATCTTGCACCAAATTTGATTGACAGGATATGCTTGCAAAGCACTTAACATTTATCATGTACAGAAGATCCCATGACGTTTTTTTAAAAGCCTATAGATGTATAGATAGTCTATAATGGGAATTCTTATCTTGACAAGGTCATTTATTCTTTTGACAAGGTCAGTCGTTCTGTTCAAACGTATGAATTAGAAGTGCTCAGGAAGGTGGGACCAACACGGTTCTTATGTAGTGTTTACACTTTCCAAATAGATGCATAACAACACCAAAAATACATCGACCTCCACTTTCATTTCCCTCGATGTTAGAAGACATGCGTATCCAAATGCACTGATTAAACTATGCAGTATTTGTAGATCAAATCTTTTTTTTTTTTGTTTGTGTTAGAGTCATTGTGTTTCTCATGAGGTATTCCACAGATCAATTGTTTATACATCATTCATGATTTAACTGTTTGGTGGACAGTCTAGGTGCATCCTCCAAGTGTGGAGACGCCTCAGCGGCCATCACATTACAAAAGTCAGTTACTGATGCACAGCCTTTATTATCCTGCACAAGTATGGCCTGAATCGGAACAAGTAGATCCTCACTCAGATTTTAAAGACTGAATGTTTTTATCCACTAATAAATTACTTGAAGTTGCTTTGGGATTTTTAAACTTTGTTTAGATACTCTTTATTTTGCAGTCAGAACCTGTAGCAGCATTGTACTGGGAGTATGTGGCAGATGCTGGTTTGACTGGGTTTTCCCAGAAGTTAAACTCACCACTTTGTCATTTCTGAAAACAGAAGCTAACATTGAATCAATGCCAAGATGAACAATTTTCTATTTTAACATAGGTTACTGCAGAAGAATATGATGAGGAAAAAACATGGAAAAAGTTGTAAACCAATAAAAAAAAATAAAAAGAGTAGTTGAACTTGCTCCGTATGTGTAGTGCACATGAATATACAGTAGAGATTTGTGTTCCTTACAACCAGCTGGATTCTGTTCAAGCTTTCCAAGCCCTTTAGCATCCATTCATCTCAGCCCTTTTTATGAGTTCTTCATGGTGTAAAACAGTCTGCCTAATTTTGTAATTATTTGCCCAAAGCCTAATATGCTCTGACAAGTGTACTACATCTTTTGATATGTTGTGTTATTTTGTAAACTTGGAGTTAAAGCTCAGTAATCATAAAATAACAAACTTTGTTAAAAAAAAAAAAAAAAAAGGAAATTTGTAGCAGCAAAATTGGCTAAAAATTATTCCAGCACCTCTTTTAACATTTTATGAAAGGTCCATGAAAATGCCTATTTATTAACTGGATTAATAAAAAAGAAATTGCTTCCAGTGTCCCAGTTGTTCTGTGTGGTTCATCTGCATTCCTCCTGCCTCCCAGCCTGCTTTCAAATCATGGTTGGGTCACTAGGGCTCAGATTGGACAAAGTCCCCTTTGGTGTTTGTCCACAGCTGTCATGTGATGTATAACATATCACTTTTTAAGTGTTGAGGGTGACCCAAATCAACCAAATACGATCACTTTTCTCTTATAATCTTTCCTGACTTAATTTTTGGTCATTACCTAACACTAAGTTTTCTAGACGCAGCAATCGAGTGTCACTCTCTGTTCTGTGAAGTTGGAAACATGGAAGCCAATGCTTTCTGGGAAGCGTGGGCTTGTGCTCTCTGAAATCAAATGAGTAACTGCTGTCAGAGACTTGTATTTGTCCACACAGAGATTGATCATTATTGAATTTAATGTGTCATCTGTCCTGTCAACCATTTAGTTGTGTCATGGTTTTATCACCTGCCTGTTGACATGCAAAAGCTCGGCCCTCAAATATTGAAACGTGGATGAGTGTCAGCAGCTACTTTTACAAACAAATAGTGGCTTAAAGAGGCCCCAATCAATGTAAGTTGATATTTAACTGTTTGCTGAGCAAATGCCAATCTTTTACTCCCAGGAATTCTGCCATCCACAGTCACTTAGTCGCTCCTTTTTTGGACAAGGCAGCAAGTTTTTTATCTAATTTAAATTTAAGGTAAGCTCAAGTATATTTTTATGACTTAATGATGACCCATTACATATTTGAATGATTTGAAAACTTGTTATAGAATGTTAAATTTGATTCAGTTATTGACGGATTTATCTATATGAATGGTTGTGCTTGGTCTGCATATGGGAATATGGCTCTTTACAAGTTTTTACTTTTAACATGGTTTTTACATTCAGACGCTTTATGTGGACTTGAATACTGAACATAGACACTATAATGCATGCTATCCAGAACAGTTTGATTTGACTGACATATAATTGTGTTGAACAATATATCTGCAGTGTAAGATTGTGGCTGTAGACAGCCCAAGTATCAGCTGAAATAACGTAATATGCAGTTTCTCCAAAATCTTTTTTTTGTGTGTGTGGCCGTTGTGTTTTAGGCACATTTCCAGATGATCTGAGTTCCTTTAAAAGAGGGCGACTTAAGTGGAGCAAAGTGTTGGAGACCTGTAAAGAATACATCAAAAGAACTTTATAAAAAGGTAGGAGTGTTGTGTTTGAATAGGTTTGAACTTGAAATGCATTTTTTTACTGTTTCATAAAAGAGAAAGGGAATTTATTTCTCTGTCTACTGTTACGTTTCCAAGATGGCTAGGGGATGAGGGGAGTAACAATGAATTATAACCCGGGGAAAATAAATAGGAAGAAAATATAAGCAAAGTTTATAATGATTTATTAACAAACTAAAGCAAAATGTGCAACACAAAACAAGCGTTTTCTTTAAAACCACCAAACAAAAGCCAATCTATCTCGAACATAACTCAAAACTAACAATCAAGATGCCTGCTCTTTATAATTTGCCTTTGATTAGTAATTAGCCACAGGTGTGGCTGGGCACTCTGAGGCTGAGGAGCAACACCTGGGGAGCACACACAGGAGAGAGAGAAAACACAAACACACAAAACTACGGCATGTAACACTGCATAACTTTTGTCCTGTTTCAGCTGCATTGTAAGGACATGGACCTTCGTCTGACACTCCTGTTGATCTGTCTCTGCAGCCGAGGAGTCACTGTAAATCACTCACATTTCTTTTCAATCACTGTTAAGTTTTTGCCTTTCCATTACTATCATTGCTGAAAGACATTTCTTGAACATAGTGTTGTTTTATACTCTCTGATCCATTATCTACAGAATGCTGAGGTAGCTGACAATGAGTCAATTCCTCTGGTGCCTCTCGTTCCTTTGATGCCCAGTCAACCCATAGAGGTGAGAGGCAAAATAAGATCTACGAGTTTTAAAGTTACCTTTCAGTGTTCTAGTCATGTAAATTCACAGTTTTAAAAATACCTTGTTGACTTTTTTCTGCCTTTAGCGAGTAGAAAATGAAACTACAAAACAACCAGAAACTGCGAACACCACAGAAAAGCCTTTACTTGCTGGTGCCCTCGGGGGCTCATCAGCGGAGGAAGAAGATGAGAGCTGTACGTCCATCAGTCGAAGATCACAGTCCAGAGAGGCCATCGCCGCAGCCATTCAAAAATTAGGAGTGCAGCTGCTGCAGAACCTGGAGACAACACCAGAGCAGCCAAATGTCATTATATCTCCTTTCAGCATAGCATTAGCTCTCTCCCAGCTGGCTTTAGGTATGCATCTCCCGCTGCAGCTTATACAGGACACATTGCATGACAACATTGTGTTTTCTCTACAAATATTTAATCACATTTGATGAATTGGGTCAGCATCTTGAAAGTGGTTATTGTCATCTAGAGACTGTCAAGGTTCTTATCCAATTATGTCTCCCTTCTTCTTTACAGGGGCAGTAAATGAGACGCACAAGCTGCTGATGCATCACCTTCATGATAACACCCTCCCCTGCTACCACGAGTCCCTGCATAATGTCTTAGTTCATCTCAGGCAGGACCTGCAAATAGCTACCCGTATCTTCCTGCGCCAAGGTTACTCCTTTTTATATATAAAAAAATATGTTTTACTTGATCAAAGTTAAGACTAAGCAGCTTCTGCTTTCATAAACATTTTGTTTACTTTTTAATTTAGTCGGCCTTCAGTGAATTTAAGCCTGAGAGAGTGTTTGCCTTGTGTTTTAGGGTTTGAGCCAAAACAAGAGTTTGTCAATGAATCCCGGCGGTTATATGACTCGGAGCCAGCAGTCTTGGAAAGCCTGGAGCAGATAAACAATTGGGTAGCGAATGCAACCAACGGGATGATGACTGACTTCCTCTCTGCTTTACCACCCAATCTGCTCGTCATGCTCATCAATGCTGTCCATTTCAAAGGTGAAATGTGGATGTGAATGTGGATGAAGATAGATCTTATTCTTAGAGAGCTTGTTTACTGAGTCCCCATCTTTTTCTTCCAACAGGAGAGTGGAAGGCTCGCTTTGACCCGCGATTTACCACCAGAGGCGTTTTCTACCTTGACGACAAGAACATGGTTGATGTTGAAGTGATGGAAGATGCCAAACATCCCTTGAGTTTATTTATTGACAATGAACTGGATGCTCAGGTAATGAACAGTTTCATCACTCAGTTTGTATTTACATGAGCGGTGATCATACACTTTGAGGATAAAACTTAAAGGCCGTTTCTTTTTTTTTACTGTGCAGGTAGCAAGCTTCCCATTCCAGAAGTCCATGAGCCTCCTGGTGGTCATGCCTTTTTCGGGCCAGGTGAACATGTCTTCTTTCATTGCAAAGCTTAACGTCTCTGACCTGTATAATCGTCTGCCAAAGCAGAGGGCCGTTCAGGTTAAAGTCCCCAAATTCAAACTGGAGTATGCTCAAGAGCTACGGGATGTTTTTACCAAATTAGGTAAGGTCTTTTTTTAGGCTTCCCTTTTTTCACCACATATCCAAATACCTGTTACTTGTTGGAAGTTGTACAATAGACTATAATCGACCCTGTCCTCTCTGCTCGTTTATAGGCCTTGGAGAGATGTTTTCTAATCCCAACTTGGCTGACATGGCTGACGGCCCCCTGCTGGTGTCTTGTGTGATGCACAAGTCCAGCATGGAGATAAATGAGGAGGGTGCAGAGGCTGCTGCAGCCACCACCGTTGTGATCTCAAGGGCATCCAACCCCATCTTCCACCTCACCCAACCTTTCTTCTTTGCACTTATTGATGAAAAGACTCAAGTACCAATCTTCATGGGTGTCATCAACAACCCAAATCCTGGAGCTCCTTTCTTGGAGAGAGGAGAACCTGGAAATAAAGATAAAGTGGGATTCCCAATTGATAAGAATCAAGAAGGCTTATTGGGAGGCCCACCCAAGTAGGGACTAATATCCGCTCTGATGTACCAGAGAAAGCCCAGACCAAGACCTCTACGATTGTACAGTTGAAATGTACTATACCACTGGAATGAAATGTGTGAAAGCAAATGCTTCGTGTGTCTTTTTTTCCCTGCAGAATAAACATCTGAGGAGACCAATATTCCTTGTGAAAGCCAAGTATTTCCTATATAAATATACAGTTTTGCTGCATCCGATCACACATCTTTGTCAAGCAACTCTTAATTAAAGATAGGGAATCGTTTTTACCTTATCATTTTACCGTAATGTATTTCACTTTAACTTCATCTACTGGTGTAATAAATGGATCTGAACCACGTTTTTTCTCCTTGATAATAAGAATGTAAATTGATGATACTTAGGAAAAGAGAAAACTCGATGGACTTTGTGGGGACCATAGTGGTAGTCAACACACAATTAACCCTTTCTGATTCAAATTTAAACTATTTGTTGTAAAAACTAATAACCATTATTTAATGTGATTCTGCAAGTTACTAAGTGGTACTTAGTGTCTTTAAATCAGTTTTCAACTATCTTCTTTGCTTAACAGTTGAATGATTAAAGAGGTGTCCTGAAGAGTTACAGTCACTTTACATATTTTTGTATTTGTTTCAGTAGGCTTTTGTATTCTCAGTGTTATAATTCCATTCCATGTTCTCAATATATCGTCAACTATATGTTATTTTTAATTTCAGTTATTTCCAAAAGCAATGTATAAGGTAAACAAAAAAATAATCCCGATAAAATCGGAAAGATTAAGACCTCTATACTTAAATAACACATCCCACTATATTAACGTTCCATTATAGCATTATTTAAAATGTATTAACAGGATTATTTCAAAACAAATGTGGCCTTTCACCGCGCTTTTATTCCTTTTTATATAGTGGAGTCCGGAAAACTCGAATTTCTTTACGGCTTTGAACGCATCGACGTTAGCGCCTGACGTCACACTTTGTTTGGCGCTGATTTTCCTGTAGCTGATCTGTGGTCAGTTTCACCGTGTTAAGCAGTGCAGTACATCCACAGTGCTCACAGCCTCCAAACTGAAGCCAGATCTGTGAACGGAAACGGAAGTTGAAGCAGCAAATACTACGCTTGGCGCGTTTGTCCAACTTGTTGGCGCCACAGACACAATTCATTCACTAAGTGCTGTCAGCAGGAGAGGGTTGGAGTTAGTTACCTTGCTTACATTTCAGTGAAGTGTCCTTTTTGTCGCTAAACAACCTATTCGCAGACATGACAAAGCTATCAGAGGGTGCTATAGAGGTAAGTTTAACATTTCAACTTTCACAGTCGTGGGAATTAATTTTATTTTACAGCTAAAAGTAGTTAAGAGGATAGCAGTCATTTGTTTCCATCTCAACTTCACCAAACAATTTATAATTTCGACGTTTGTCACTGCTAGCTCAATTTCATGGTGGTATTTTTTTAAACTGTGTCATTTGTTTCTTAAAAATGTTTACATCAGCCTTTATTAAATTTGAATTTAAAGTAAATCTTTTATAGGACCGTTAAATGTTTTTTTTTCCCTGGATAAAAAGACCTACTTTAAAGTTAAATAAAAGAGAAAATGATTAAAAAACATTACTGAAAACTTAAAATATGTGTTTCCAGGCTCTCACAAATGGCACTGGTGAAAACGACCTAGTTCTTCAGCTGGTGGTGAGTTAAAAAAAAAAAAAAAAGCATACATTCTGTTTTTCATGGCACTTCTCTACTCATCCACTAAATCTCCACTGAATTAACTCCTTTTCTATTTGATAACACTTGACATGACATCTTTGCACAAATCATCCATGTATCTTCATTTGATAAGCAGTCAGTATGAATACGACTTTTAGGCCGCAGCCTGCTAAACAAAGCAGGATGCACTTTAGGGTGAAAAAATTACCAACATTCAATTTTTTTATAATTTAACACACAGTTCATGATGTGAAAGACGACAAAATCCTGTGGAAAGGAGCCTTTACTCACATAACCAAAGTAGCATTTGAACACATCTAAACGTAACAAAAGAAGTTCTGAAATAACATGAATAATACATATATCCACATAAAGACGTACAAACCTAATGTTTTTCTACATTTAATAACTGTGTGGATAAATCACCTTTCAGAATATTCGCAAGCTTGAAGGAGGAAGTGGTCACACTCGCTGGAGGGTGATGATGAGTGATGGACGGCACACACTGTCCTGTGAGTTTGTTTTCTTTGTATTTTCTCATTTATTTGTTGTGGCTCGTTTATTAACAAATGTATAGTCTGTAAACCCCTCTTAGAGGATTTTCTTGCGCTCCTGAATAGATATTATCGTAATAAAATGACAGATGTTAAGCTTTTTCTAACATTTGATATCGTAATTGTGTTTATTTTTTTGTTGTTTTAGCACATAATGAATGTGTCCTGCACATGGGGTTGAAGCCTTTAGCTGTGTTTTAGGAGCGATTATTCTCTAAAGCTTCTAAGTTGAATGATCCCGCTGCCGCTCCAGTTTGATTTCTTCTGACTTTTCTGCCCCGTCTTTAGCCTTCATGCTGTCAACGCAGCTCAACTTCATGGCTGAGGAGAACAAACTGGTCCCGAACTGCATCTGCCTCCTGAAAAGGCATGTGACCAATATACTGAAGGATGGAAGGTATGCAGTTGTTGTAATTTCTTGTCTTTATCGCCACTATTGCCCCTATTAAATACTTTCAAGGCTATAATCTGATGTTTGTGTGGGTGTCCTATTACAGACGGGTGGTAATCATTTTGGAAATTGATGTCATCAAGCCTGCTGAAGCTGTCGGAGGAAGAATAGGCGACCCTACACCTTTCACTGAGGGTAAGGCCTCAAATCCACAACAATTTGATTAAACCTTCTGGTTACTGAACACTGAATATGTTTCTGAAGTGACACTCTCATTAACATTGATGAGAGGTGGTACCATCGCACACTTATACTGATATCGTCTTCCTTGCAGGTCAGGGTAAAGCCCCACAGCCAGTGCCGACCCCTGAACAACGCCCTCCACTACAGCCACAGAACTTAAATGATGGTGTGTTTTTATTTATTTAACTCTTGAAAGGAAATTAAAATGGGTGCAAGTGCTCAGGTCCCATTTTGCTTATGAGAAGCTCGTAAATGACCACTAGATGGCAGCATTTCTCCACTTCTTTCTATGTTATGGGTGACCCACACCTTTACAGGACACGAGTCATTTTGACAGCCTTGTTGAGGGACACATTGAGCTCCTTAAGCCTTCGCATGTCTTTCAGTTTTTCACCGATCTTTTTGTCACTCTTTCTAGAAGAACACCCGCTTTTGTGAATATTTAGTTTTCTAAACTTAACACCTGTGAGCCTGTGTTGATTGGAGTTGATTGAGTGGTGATCACTGCCCATGCATGTCAATCATTCAGTTTATCTGTTATGGATGCAAAGTGAATGATAAATACATGTAGCCACATTGACTACTTGAATATTTATCGATATGTTTTTTTAATTTATGAAGCCGGCAGCTGTTCCTTCCAAGTACAGATGTGTATCACAGCAGAGTAAACAACTTGGACCATGATGGATGTGCAGTCCAGCCGTCAGAGGGCTTTTGCTGTTCTCTTGTGTGTGTCATAGCAGGTATTCATCCCTCTAATCTGCCTTATGGGAATTGAGGTTGTGGCGAGCACCGTCCTCATCAGCACAGTCATTGTTGCTTTCTCTGTGTGTGTGCTGCTTGATCTGGGGGCTTAATTACCAGAAGTGCAGTGGTTGGCAAAGTGGGAGGACTAAAGTGGACACTTTGAACTCTAATCCTCCACGTGAGACGCACACAAATCAAATGTGCAGCGCTTGTTCAAACGGAAAAATCTCAAAGTCAGGCAGCAGCGCTCTCCTGGGGAGGAGCAGCTCCAGTTTGTTATAGCATTTCACACTCTGCCCCGATTCTGTGAAATATGAATCATCCTTCTCGCTGAAACGCTGGATCACACGTCTCCCACAACTTGGGTTGAGTGGAATTTGTTGTTTCCTGTTTCAGTCGCTCCTCTTTCTCGACTCGTGACATAAGGGTGCTAAATTCACTTAAAGTCATTAGGTTTTCTTCTTTGATTAAACTTCCCTCCTGAAGTTTGATAATTACAGTGATCAAGAAGTTGCAATCCACAGAAATTAGATTTTTCTTTTTTTTTTTTTGTAATTTTCCTCAGATGAATTATATATGTGCCTCTCTCTTGACTCATCTTCATGGATCATTCATTTGTCTTTCAGCTCCACCGCCTGTGCAACGAAGTTACAATAAAGACTTTGGGAAGAAAGCCCCGTCTGCAATGCCCAGCACTCCAGGGGGCAGCTCTAAAGTTGTGCCCATCGCCAGCCTGAACCCCTACCAGTCCAAGTGAGTATGTTTCCCTGTTGCTGGGAAAGGTCAGGTGGTTTAAGAATAATTGTCTGAATGAGGGAAGAATGCAACACAAACAAGTGTTGCAATTTGGATCTCCAAATTAATTTATAAATTGTTTAAAGCTGTCACAACTGCTACGGAAAAAATCAGATGATGCAGAATTTATGAATCTTTCAATTGTCTAATACCAAGGTAGTTATTGTGCTCCCAAAATCAAACACAGGTCAAGCTCAAACAATTCACGACACTATGACAAACATCGGGCAATTCTTTAGTATCTCAGTGATATTTGGATGGTAGGGTTCAGCCTAAAAGCGAGGCTTTAGGATACAATGACATAAAGTGTTTGAGAACCTCTCATTCCCTATCTAGCTGTACATGTGCTCCCAGAGTTTGTGTTAACCTACCAAACACAGGTGTTGCTCTATCCCATTACATTCTATTGTGAACTGCCAGTGAAGGGCTCATGCTGAGTTCCTGGCAAGCCTAAGTGTAACAGAGCCATTGTTGATATGATTAGAACTCCAGCTCTGCTATTCTCTCCTACGAGTAATTCAAATGTCACTGGAAAGCGTGTTGCACAGGAGGAAGGCGAAGGATGCATGTTCAGTGTCATTCATCAAAACGGACACTAGAGGACTGATTACTCATGTTTGACGAAATGAAGGACAAAAAAAAAAAAGGGCTCACATAGAGTTCAATTCTGGATCCAAAAGGTGTGCAAGAAAAAATGAGCACAGATTGAACCCTCAGTCTTTCT